TCAATATTTATCATTTAATGAGGAGTTCAAACAGCCCGGGTCCCAAAATTAAAGCTCATACGCAAGCGCGCGTTCACATCCGGCGCGGTCACGCTAGGCTACGGCAGTATCTGTCGTCACGCTGTTAGATTGTTTATGTTTTTATTTTGTCGTCGATTTTTTGTTTAAATTAAAAAATGTTGGTTGAAAATGGATAGTTCGACTATACTACGACTACATCAGATTGTAATTACAACGTAGGATTAAAAAAAGTAATTAATAAAGAAAAGTGGAAAGAAAATAAGCGTAAACGTATAGACGTGCTGGAGGAAAAGGTTATGTTGATAAAAGTGGAAAAGAAGTTTCTAAAAAGAAATTTAAGCGTATAAATAAATGTAACAATAATTGTTATACAAATTTTAATTTTTTTAAATTTTTGATCTCTTGAAAATAAAGTTGAACAAGATTCTTATTTAATGAGTTGTACGCATCGAAAGGAAATAAAGACTTTAAAATCAGTTCCTAAAACAAAAAATAGACAGTTTTTTTTTTTTGGAAATATAGCTTACAAGACAAAAATAATTGTGATGAAAATGTTTGCAAAGAGTAATTCGGATGATTACGATAGCGAGTAATTTTTCCATATTTTTTTAACTAAGACTTGTGCAATGTAATGTTAATATTTGATTAAATATTACTATAAAATATGTTATATGACTCTTCAGAAAGGTTTAATATAAATAAGAGTCTTAATATATTAAAATAAAAGTGTTCTTTAATAAAAAAAACTTATCTCAGTTGCATTTCTAGTAGTTAGCCGAGAAAAACCACCTAAGTCATTTATTATAAATTAATGTTTTAAAAATAGCTTAACATATTTTATTAAACTTTTCTCTTTTTTTTAAATTATTATTTGATAATGCCTATTTAGTGGAAAAAATAAGCGACATAATTAATATGCAAATTATATTAGTAATTTGTTTCTGAATTTTTAATTCGATTTTTCTGTAAAAAACCTAAGTTCATGTTCATGAGCGAACGGCACAAAGAATACAAATGAATATTAATTAAATTATTAATTTAAATTTAATTTTTATTGGATTAAAATAATAATTACAAAAATTAAAGCCCCATATTCTTTTCATAATAATTGAAAAGAGATTTAAATAAATTGATAAACGACGTGATAAATATGCAATTATTTATTCGCCGATTTTTTTATTCTGCGCAAATTCCACTATATATATATATGTATATAGATTCATTAAAAGTTCCCTAATAAATCGTATTTATTTTTCACAAATGTGTTGTATGCCTTCCACTTAAAGACAAATGTTATGTTTGTCAATTAAAATAGGTATTTATATTTTTGGATGCAAAAAAAAAAAGAAAAAAAAATGTTTTTATGTGTTTGTCGTAAAATTAAAAAGTGGAAATTAATCGTGCAAACTGTACTCATGAATATTGTGATTAGTGTTTGTGTGTATATGTATGTATATTTTATATGGAGATGCTGGATAGTCCTGTGTGGCTACCATACTGATTCAGGATCCTCTTTCTCTATCCTTTTGCTCTCGTAAATCCGATAGGGGACGCACAGACTTAAATTCACGAAATTTCAAGTTGGCGCGCGGCGTTCTTTTCTCTCTCCTTTTAAAAATATACGTGCAGAATAAATTTTGTCTCTTTCGCTTGATAAAAATCTGAATTGACTATTATACGTAAAAAATTACAATGCAAACATGCAACAAAATGTTATGTTGAACATTTATTTTTATTATAGTCACGTTAATTATAATATCAAAAAAAAAAAAATTAAGTATATTGTAATAACTGTAATATATAAAATAAAATAATTAATTGTATTTATTTAGGAAGTAAAAGTTGCAAATTTGTAAAAAATAAAAACAAAGCAATAGAATTTTTAATTAGTTAATGATAATTAAAATTTTATTATTATAATTAATTAATTCATAATGTGGACGGAGGTAAAATTTACAACCACTTTCTATATAATTGGCGATTATTTTTGCGACCTTTCAATTATATACGTGAAGACATTCTTATAATCTTGTAAAGCCACCATGTGACATTATCGTTTCGATTAATTTCACATAAGAATTTTTTATTGCTTTCTAGTGATTCGTTTAAATGACCGTAAAATGAAATCAGCAAAACGAATTTTTATAAAGTTTGAACTGTTTTTCTGTGTGCTGACTGAGCAAAAAAGAAAAAAAAGAATAATACAGATCGCGTGATAAATGGTGAATTTAGGGGAAAAAACGGAATAAGAAATTTAATTGAATTAATTCATCAAAGTAAAAGAAGTTTTATGGAATAATCATGAAATTGATTTATACGATAACTTTAAAGATTTGCGAGAGAAAAAAGGACCGAGAGCGCTGAAATTTTTATTTTCTCGCCTGGATTTAAGAGTTTCTATTTTTGGATTTATTAGCGTAATTCACAATAAATAATTATGTATACATTTTGATTCAATCTTTGTGATTTATTGGGTAATAATATATGAATTTTAGTGAAACATTCTAGGATTACGTTAGGGTTGACTTTTTATTAGTTGGAGGATCTCGCTTTTTTTTAAAAATGGAATCCTAATTATATTATATTATGCGCAGTATTTAATCATTCTGTTATTGAAAAAAAAATTTGAATATATAAAGTTTAGTTAAAAATGATGAAATTAATTTACTCAATATTTTTTTTGTATTTTTTACTTGTACAAAGAAAACTTATGAGTTTCATTTCCTCTTAGTTAAACCTAAGTGAGCAGCTGTTATGAGAAATTATCGTCGCTAGATTTTTTTCACATGTACATGACCGAGGGTTTGGAAAATAGGAAATGAGATTTGAGTCATTTTCTTCGGTTCTATCGTCTTTGCTCCATTTCATCTCATCGCCAGAGGTGGTAGTATAGAAAATTATACTTCTAACATGTGGTTGGCGTCGAATTCAATATCATTAATATATGTAACAAGATTTAAGAATATTTTTTTTAACCTTTGTAGAACTAAAAAGTATAACTAATTTCATTTATAATAATTATTAAAGAAAAAAGGAAATTTTAATAATTTTACTATTATTATTTTTATTACTTTATTTTAGTACTTTCACTCATTGTCAGTGAAAAAATAATTAATAACAGAATAAAAAATAATAATATGAAAAAGTTACATTCAAATTTATATATATATATTTTTTTTAATAATTATTTATACTAAAAATGAGAAATCAGGGTACTTTTGAGAATATGTATAATTATTTTTAAAAATTGTATGCTGAAATTGAATATTTATATTTGTAAACACCGTTCTGTAATTTAAATCCTATCGAATTACGAAACCAATTATTGAACGCAATATGTTGTAAATAATACATTTTTAAGATATTTAATTAATATTAATAAACAATATATTTCCCCCTAACTTATATTTTTTAAAATAGAATTTGATTTAGCTTTAAATGCAAAAAATTGCACAATAGATTTGCCACGCATAAATTTCAGAGGTTTATATATATCTTTTTTTTAAAGTTAATAGGATCTCGAGAACGATACTCGGAGCGCACCTTTCTTTTTTATTATGGCTTTAAAATAATTCGAAATCTCCCTCTCTCTTCTATATCTACTATAGTTATCTATTATCGCAAGATAGTATAATTTTTTTTATAGTCATTTATTTTGACATTCCAACACTGAATATTAAATTGCAGAATTCATTTCTATTTTTTTTTTTTTTTTTTTTTTTGCATATATTTTGATAAATTGGAACATAGGATATGAAACAAAATTTATCGTTTGTCATAAGTTTAAAAAATTAATTACCTTTTTGTTACGAAAGTTTTTTTTTCAAAAAAGAAGTTTTTATAACTAAAATTAAGAATTATTTTCTCTTTTTTTTAGTTCAGAATTCTTGAAAAAAAAAATTTAACTAAAAAAGTCGAAAGTCACTTAATTACAAGAATTGCAGTATGTTCATTAATTATTTAGAACGTAAAATCAATTTTGTTTACGCCAAGAGGAACATTAATGAATAATATTTAAATGACTTGGTGCGACGTTCGTTAATGAACCTTTGGCGTAAATCAACCAAAAAAAAAAAAAAACATGAAAAAGAAACTTGATACCTTTAAAATATAGTTTTCAAGCCTTAAACTTTTTTTCATTATAGATAAATTAAAAAAAATTTTTTCCTAAGAATTTCATGAATGTTCATTGAATCAAAAATTCTTTTATGACTTCATCTATAAGACAAAATGTAATAAATAAATTTAGGAAATATTTCTCATTTTTAATGTATTTATATAGATCTAAGATAATTCGAATTAATATAATTATAATATTAGAAATCGAATTTGAAATTGAAATCAGTGAAAAATGTCACTAGTCATTATTAATGAAAAGATGGAAATTGGTGAAAAAAAAAACAAATCCTATCTCTCTATTTCTATGATCTTGATCTTTGATCATCGTAAAATGGTTTTAAGTTCCTTGCTGCTGTCTATACAAAATGAAATTTGAATCCGATATAATGTGTGCAACCGTGCGACGAGTTCGGTGAACGTTTTCAACCGTGCGTTAAAACGGCGTTCGATTCCCAACGTGATTTTTTGACAACACTACCGTTACAACAACAACACACGCATGATTCTTTTGCGCTCTTCTTTTTTTTGCCCAGCAACTGAATTATTAAAATTCGATGAGATTACATATTCATATTTGATGGGTAAAAAAAGAAAATTGCGGGAAAAATGGAAATTTAAAATTGCCTGCGATATAAAAAAAAAAAAAACAGACAACCATGAGATACATTTTGATCGAGAGGTTTTTACTCGCGATCTGTTTGCCTTGTGGAATGAATAATATTGCTAACAAGAGAAATTCTTTTTACAATTTAGAAAATATATATTTTTTTTTTGCATCAAAAATGATTTATTTTAATAATAAATTTTCATAATAATGCAATTTTTTGTTAATAAAAAATGATTTTTCTTTTTTGTTTCAGGCTAGTCGTACCCTTGCACCTTGGGAGCATCTTTTGCCTTGTCCAAGATGTACATTTCCATGTCACGTCGACATTGAAAAGAACGTCGGCAAATGTTCGAGGCAAAGCTGTTGTTTTGAATTTTGCGCAATGTGCTCGTCGAGTTTTCACAATGGACCGTGCAAAACTCCATTACTCGCCACCCCGACGAAAAAGAGGAACAAGCCCCTCGTCGTTGGTTCGAGACAAAGCAAGAGGAATTTACGTCGTCTATAGCATTGCCAGAAAGCCTTAAATTTTTAAATATGCTGATCAATTTCCAAACACAATGGTTCTCTCACTCTCTTCATTATATTGAGATGTTTCTGAGTTCTTCTCTGAAATGGAGATTATCGTTATTGTTTAAGTCAATTTACAAGAATTATTTTTTTCCCCCAATTTTTACTCTTTCATGTTTTCATGTTCTTTATATTATTTATATACAAAAGTTGTAAAAAAGTTCATTTTGAAGTTTTATCAAACTTGACGTTTTTTTTACAAATTTTCAATTTACTCTTATTTATAAAAGAGTCGTTATTGCTTTTTGTTTTTATACAGAAAAAAAAACCATTGAATTTAAAAAACCAATTATTTTGATTTTAATTTGAGCATTTTTTTCCGTACGCTATATAATAGTCATTCATTAACAATATTATTGTTAAATGATTAAAAACAATTTTTTTTTGAAAAAATTCTCCTTTTGAGAGGATTGGAAACCTCACAATGTCTCGAGGCATCTCGAAGAATTTCGCATGTACCAAACGTGGTTTGAAAAAAAAAACAAAAGAGAAAGAAAGAGGGTAGAGGCAAAAGCGTCTGCCCATAAAAGAAACTCCAGAGTCACCGTAAATATTTCAGTCTTAAGTATCGGTTGCAATCCTTCACTGGAACGAACGGTTCGTTGGTACTTGTCATCCAGTAAAACTACTTTTTACCGCATAAATTTTGTGTGCCACAATTTTTTTTTGTGGCGGAATCTAATTATTTACATATTTTAATCACACACGCACTACAACAAAATTCGCAAATTTAGAATTTTTTTTTTATTTCATTAAATAAAAAAATATAATCAAATTTAATTAAATTAAAATTAAAATTATTTTTTTTTAATATTAGACAAATTTAAAAAAATTTAACAAAAACAATGTTTAAAACATTTTACAATTTGCATATTTTATACAATGTAAGATTTACTGGATGGTAAAATCGACTTCCGTCCTTGAAATCGTTTCACTATTTTATCGTTGAGATAACAAGAGCGATAAAAGTAGCTTTAAAGATTTCGCGGAAAAAGGGATGCAGCCAAGATTTGTGATTTTGTGACCGTTAAGACTTCAAAGGATGCAATAAATTAGTTGAATATTTATCCAAGGAGAATAAACAATATTATATAATAATTTCATTGAAATTATATTTTTATTTCATTTTAATGAAATTGAAATAATGAAATTGTAATAATGAAATTAAAATAATTAAATTAAAAATTTTTATATATGGCAATAAAATTAATTAAATTTAAATTAAAAATAATTTTACAAGCATTCTACAAAAATTGGTTGTTTTACAAAGTATATAATTTTATTTCTACTACGATAAATATAACTGAATTTTATTGACGTTACGTTGAAGTCTTTCGAAAAATTATGTCGAAAATCGAGTCGATTGACCATTTGTTTATAAATTATGGCAAATGAAAAATAGATTATAAATAATATGTAATTACTGTATATTATTGAAAAAATGGATGAGACATTCAAACGTTTTTCATTGGGAGCTTTATGTATGTAAAAAAGAACAAAGTTTACCAAAAGAATAACGTTTTGAAGTCTCGTCTAATTTTTTTTTTTTTTTATTTTTACTAGTCGCGTCAGATGACAAATTTTTTATGTTGTTAAGTCGCTTGAAAGTATTATTTTGCAGATTAACATGAATTTAAGGATGAAATATAATCTCAGGAAAATCTATCACATTTTTATGGAATAAAAATTTGATTTAATTCATTAAATTTAAAAATTTTTGACTTAATAATATATTAAATTTTATAAAATTTAAATTTATTAAATTAAATTTTATAACATTTTTAATTTAAGAAATTAAATTTTATTAGAAATTTCATAAATATTATAGATTTTTTTGATGAAATCAACTTATTTTTCAAAAAATATATTTTGGTGTACATGGAAGTTAAATTCGTGCCATTTTTTTTTGTTTGAGCCATAAGAATTGCCATACAGAATTTTTCGTACAAAAAAAGAACTCAATCATTAAATTTTTTGTAATTATTAATTGAGAGAAACTCAGGTTCTTAGAGTAATTGCAAACATATATATTTTTTTAAAAAAGTACCTTTTTAAATTCATTAGACAAGATAATTCGCCATTCTTTAAAAATATCCATGTCAACAGTTTTTAATTTTTAAGCATTCAAATTACTTTTACTGAATTTCATATTTTATTTTTTTTCTTTCTGGAAAAAACTGCATGTAAATATACACAAAAACATGTGGAGTAATATTTATTGTATATTCCCCTTTATTTTCGCAATCAGATTAATTTAAAAACATTGTACGTTCAACGTTCAATGAAAAACTTCAAACACTATGGTGCACATGTAACAAGTATTTGAAGTTCTTTTCTTATCATGTATAACTTAATGAAAAAATTTTATTCGTGAAACGATTATTTGTATTTTTGTGTAATTTAATCAAATAGAAGAAAAAAAATTATGTAAAATTTTATTTAAAAAAAAAAAAAAAAAAAAAAAATGTAAACAAAAATTGTATGAAATGAATGTATATTTAAAATTTTTGTATGTATAGTTATAATTTGGGCCTCTTAAAGAATGTTTAATGTAAACCAGTTTAAGAACATTGTAATACATCGTTTTATATAGATATCCTAGAAATAAGCGAGAAAGAAAGTTTTCTTGAAATTCAAATGGCATTGATGTTTACAGAAAGCAATTTATTTTTCCAGATTTTTATAGTTTAGGAATGAATTCAGTGATTATTGAAACACTTAGTTATTAACAAAGCGCAAAATGCATGTAAATAATTTGTAAAAAAAAATATTGCGAAGTAGTTTACTAGATAGATTGAAAATATCAGAATTTTTATTTAACATTATTTCTATTTTATTAAAATTTAAAACATGTATAAAATTTTCATAATTTTTATTCTTTGCATTCCTATTTACAAAAATTATTAATAATAAATAACAATTTAAATAGAGGAAAAATGATTAAATTTGTTTGTACCTTTTTTTTCAAATTGTCGAATAAAATAATAAATTATATTAAATAAAAATTCAAAAATTTTCATAGTATTTAATGAAACAAAATGAAAACTCGACTTCTTTCTGAGATTAACATTTGCCATAAATATTTTTGTATTTCGCTAGATCTCTAGGATATAAGCCCATATACATTTGATACATATCTTTATGAGTGCGAGTATATATATATATATTGTTTAGTTATGTGAGAATAATTTAGTCTTTTAAACGTATGAATCGTGTGTGGTAAAAATTAAGTTATCCCAGTAAAGAAAAATTCTTGAGTGCCTTATTAATCTAAGTGACCAAAACAACAAACAAACAAAAAATTTATAGAAAAATGAAAAGAAAAATCAAAGGAAAACAAAGTGACTTAAACATTCCTATTTTTTTTAAGTTTAGATTATTTAAATATATTGGTGATAATATTTTTTTAAAAATATTTGTGAGATTTAAATTTAAATTAGTAAAAGATATAAAAATTGTGTGACACCAAATATGATGTACACTTTGTTTTCGTTTTGATAAAATATTGAAAGACGAGTTTAAAAGATGAAAGGAAGTTGGATGTCGCGAATTCGAAAAATCAATTTATTTTTGAACGTAAATTTGACATTTCTTCACTTATTAAAAAAAAAAAATGATTTGCTCAAATCGTTTGAAAAAATAAATAAGTTGTATGTCTATTGCCAAAAAAAGGAAACGAAAAAAAGTAAATTTTCAGTATTGCGCATTCGTTCGCCATTCCTTTTATTAAGTTATGCTCTCTGTATCTGGTCATGTGATTTATGCTAAGGATTCAAGTTCAGATCCGGTTTCTTTCTTATATACGGGACCACGAATGCAGCCATTTCATTCCCTTAAACTAATTGAAAGCAAACGCCGCTGCTTGTTTACTATCAAGAATACAATATTTTAATCTAAACTAAAAAGATATTTTACATTTTTGTCAGTTTAAAATTTTCACAAAAAAAAGAAAATATTATTTTTTTCAAAATTAAAGTTTTTATCGTTCTTATTTTAAAAATTTTCAAAAAAAGGGAAGATCTAAATTTGGTAATAATATAAAATCTTTTTTTCTTTTTGAAAATTCTCATACTAATAATGCATATGGTACAATTCAAGAAAGAAATAATTTTTATTGTAAGATATAAATGTAGAGAAGAGGAAAGGAAATTTTCAAAATTTCATTTCTCTCTGATACTGTTTTAAAAAACAAATTTTAGTGCAAATTTATTTAATTTAATTTAGAAATTTTATTTTAGAAAAAAAGACATTAAAATATATTTAAAAAATTTCTTTCCTCTACTCTTTAAATACCTCGTTTTAATTAAAAAATGAATACTCAAAAAAAATATATATTTAAAAACATTTTACTGCATTCTTTTTAGGTATAAGTTATTTAAAAAGAGAAATTTCTAAGTATTTAAAAAAAACAAAAGGTGATACCAAATAAAGCGAAAAATATGCAATAAGTTTATGAAAAATATTAATATTTTTCTAGCTGACTTATTAAATTTACTATTGTAACAATTTATGCTCGAGTGCAAGAATGTGAAATGATACATTAAAAATGCTCAATTTAATGTTATTCGTGTTAATTAATTTCACGGCAAAAATCAATTTGTGTATCTATGAGTTTATCTTTAATTAGTAAATTTTCAAATATTTTGAAAAACTGCATTTTTTATTTTAATTAAAAATAATATCCCCCTTTTTTCATCCTATATTTTCCTGTTGATATTGTAATAAAAATTCACTTGAAAATTATTTGTCTTTCAATAAAAATTTAAACCAAAATATTCCAAAAACTACTACTTTATTTTTTTTTTTTAACTTTTTTCCAAGGATTGTCATAAAATTAAGGAATCTTTTAGAATTATTTATGTTTTCGAAATGAATGAAAAAAAAATCTATTAACTTCAAAATTAATTTATTGTAAAAAGTTTCCACAAAATTTTAGCAAAAAGTGCAATAAACAATCCCACCATTGCAATAATTCGAAATTTCGATGGTTGCATTTCAACAGGTACACCGGAAACAATTCCCCTCGGCAATGATGGCTTTAGAGCTGGTGAAACACCTTCATTAAGTGGTTCTCCTTTCATTGAATGTTTCGTAGCCGATGTTATTTTCACTGTAACCATTTTTCCCATAAATTCCTCTTTCATTGGTACCAAGACTTGTTCATAAAATTTATTGTGCGCAACATAATGTTTTTTATCATGTGACATTTCAGTGACAAGAACTTCTTGCACGCTATCAACTTCATGTCCATAGGGTTCGTAAGATTGGAAAAATTCTGATAAACGTTTTGTTCTCTTCTTGACGTCTTGCGTTGGAACTTTGGTCATTCTTGCCGCTGGTGTTCCTGGTCGCGGGAAAAATTGATTAATAAATAAACTTGGAAATTTATATTTTTCACAAAGTATCATAGATTCCTCAAAATCTATTTCAGTTTCCGTTGGAAATCCACAAATAATATCAGTGGCAATTGTCACGCCAGGAACTTTCTCTTGCAAAAAATCCACGACATATTCAAAATCAGCTCTTGTATATTCACGTTTCATGTCCGATAAAATTTGATCGCTTCCCGATTGCACGGGAACGTGAAGAAAACTATAGACACGTGAATGTCGTAGAATTTTGCCAATCTCTTCCAAATGCTCAAGAATATATGGAGGATTTGTCATACCAATTCTCATCATACAACCCTCGGGAATAATTTCAACTAATTTCCAAAGTAATTCCGGTAAACTTGTGCCAATATCTTTGCCATAGGCACCAGTATCTTCGGAAGTCAACCACAATTCGCAAACACCTTCATCGAAAGCTTGTTTTGCCCTCTCGACAATTTGCTCCGGTGAATAGCTACCAAGTTCACCTCTCGCGTGTTTCGTTTTACAATAAGTACATTGATTAAGACATCCTGTATTAATTGCAATGATTTCAATTAATGGATTTCGGCGTACTTTGGGAAGATCGAGTGAAGCACCTCCAATTTTTTTACCAGACTCTTTCTTTTGACCCAAAAATCGAACGCTATTTCCTTTTAATGTTTCCTCGACAACTTCAACAACTCGATCAATTTGCTGAACTCCAATCATACTTAATCCTTGAATGAAACTTGATTTTGGCGCTCCTTGTGGTACACAACTGTAAAATTAAATTTTTAACAATTACAATATTAAAAAAAAAAATACTAATCTATAAGCAAATTAATTAGAAATTGTTAATAAAAAAAACAAATACTAAACTATAAGCAAATTAATTAGAAATTGTTAAAAAAAATGTTATACAATGAAAGAAAATTTTCTTAAATTTTTTTAAACAGAAAATAATTTACCCTGCAACTACAACATGTTTTCCTAACTTTCTTCCAGCTTCGATCTCATTTTTAAAGTGATCTTCCGCTGGATTTTTAACAGTACATGAATTCAAAAGCCACAAATCGGCACGATATTTATCTTCCGTTAAATTATAACCATAAGCAGCAAGTTGTCCAGCCATATATTCACTATCGGAACTATTATGAGTACATCCCCAAGTTTTTACAAAAATAGTTTGAGTACCTATAAGACAATAAAAATTGTTGGTAAACTTAAAGAAATAATATAATAATAACGATAATTGTTACTGGATTTTACCTGGAATTATACTCGAATAAATTGGCGGTTCAGGTATTGTTTCTTGGTCCTGTTTTCTCTTTGCTCGAACAGTCACTTTTTTTCGAGAACTGTATCTTTCTTTTGGAGTAATATCTTGTGAAGATATTAAATCTTCAATATCATCAATGATTTCAGTACATGGGGAAGACATTTTATTTTTCTCTTAATTTTTAAAGTAAACAAATAACAAAATTTGTTTTAATAACCTTATGTGATGTATAACAAAATTGATTCACATTTGTAAATTAAGTTACAATTTGTTTAAGTATTTAACTATATTAAATTTAAACACAATTTAACTATCTACTTTAAACAACTATTTTCAGTAAAATAGTCAATGTAACACTTAATAATGTTTAAAAATGTCTAAAACTGAAAAATAATTAAACTATTTAGAGGTTATATTGACATCCACGAGGTTTGTGATGTTGTGATTATGATCATGAACTATGTGAAACTAGTGCGGACGTTGACAGCACTGTCATTCGATAAATCGAAGTTCGATTTCTCCATTTGTGACGTCACTTTTCAAAATGGTTGCTTGTCGGAAGACACAATGAGCAGTAGAGCTGTGGCTGTACCTTTATAGAACACCTGAAATCGAAAAAGTGTCCATCTCTGTCAAGTGTGTTACCAATCCCTGCTGTAGTGTTCTAAAGACAGTAAATTACGTCAAGAAGAGAAAGAAGATTACGGTAATTTACCGGTAAATTACCGGATCGTTTTTTCTCTGAGAATTTATGAGAATTTTTACTTGTACTTTTATCCTTGTCTGACACGTGCGTTGTCATGACAACGTGTATGACGAGGATAAAAGTACAGACATATGTTCCTGACTGTACAATTATTATTATAATGAAAAATATCTTTGTTACAATATATATTATATATATATTAATATATTAATATTGATATAATATTACATTATTATATTGAATCAGGTACATTTATATGCCTGCACTTTTATCCTTGTCTAACACACATGTTGCCATGACGACGCACGTGTTAGACACATAGAGATAATATAAATAGAGTGGAGATGGTCTGTATAGAGGCGTCCGTTTGATAGAAAGAGAACGCGATTTTAGCACCAGTAGGTGTCTCTCTTGCGCTGGTGCTTATTGAAGGACAGATACTGGTGTTAAATCTTTCTTCTCTTTCCAACCCATTCTGTTTATGTCAGGACACTTCCCTCTTACGCAGCCGCCTATACCTTGTCTACTCTATTTATATTATCTCTATGGTTAGACAATGATAAAAGTGCAGGCATATATACCCGACTGTCATCTTGTCAGTAAGAACACAGAGAAAATTAGGGTGCAGTCCCATGGAGCAGATTAGCAGATTAGACGTTGACCAATAAAAAAACAGTCTCTAACGGAAATGCAAAAATTTGCCGCGAGAGATTAACTTTTGATTGGCTGAAATCTATTCTGCTAATCTGCTCTATGGGACTGCACCCTTACAGTCTATTATATTCAATGTTCAAATTATTCATTTAATAACATGTCGGTCGTTTATTTATAACTTACATACTATAAAAATACATATTTAAATTTAAAAAAGGCAATTATCAATCACTTAAATGAATATTCTCATATATTCTCATAAATTCTCTTTTTTTCGGTAATTTACCGCAATTTTCTTTCTTACCTTCTCAGGTTTCAATTTTACCGAGAATTTTAAAACACTACCCTGCTGCACATTCCCGGTGGCCGGCAGAGATGGGTAAGTAACATACTTCATGTATGTTACCTAAGTTTGCTACGTATGTTACATGTGTATACAACTTGTCCAGTTTGCTACACAACGTTTGTTACATTTCATGACGTAGGCACTCTGGTCAGAAGCAAATATAACCTCAATCTAGTTGGTTCCCGCTATGTGCTTAGCACGAAGTAGTATAAAGAGTCCCCACTATGCAAAATAAATATGTACCGAGTTTTCTGACAGCCTTTCAATTTGGTAGGTTAGCGATACTAGCGCGATTACCGGGGAAATTGTTGCAACTCAACTGGATAATGGCGGAAATGTATGTTTGTGAGAGATTTGTCGTCTGCACTCGACTCTTCACGAGCAGATACGAATCATCACGAAACATACATTTCCGCCATTATCCAGTTGAGTTGCAACAATTTCCCCGGTAATCGCGCTAGTATCGCTATCCTACCAAACTGAAAGGCAGTCGGAAAACTCGGAACATGTTTTTCCTGAAATTGCCTATGCAGTGGGGGCTCCTTATACTACTTCGTGGTGCTTACCCTACCGAAAGAGTGGTACTGGATATAGTCTTTGAATTTTTGTTTGATTCGTGTGAATTCACAACGTTCAGCAGTGTAAAATTAAAATGTTTAACGTTGTAAATTTACAAAGCATAATAAATTAACATTGTTGAATAAGTTATTTTACATTTGGCGGGTAAATCGACACAAAATTTTTTTTACAGTGTTGCTTTGTGGACATTCTTTTTAAAAATGAATCGAGGTTATTAACTTAATAAAAATTATTAAACTGAAGTGCAATAAATTACACAGCCACACAAAAAAAAAAAGTTCTGATCTGGGGGTCTGACTATATATTTTCTATGTCTTTTGGGTCGCTGAATCCGAATCCGAGGCCCATTCAACCCCATCACATCAGGTTTTTGAAAAAACCTCAAAAAACCAAAATGGCGGACACTTTTTTGGAAAATTTATCGGATTCGCTTGAAACTCGCTACTCGGGGGTTTTTGGGGTCGCTGATTACGAATTTGAAGTCAGTTTTCAAAAATTCAAAATGGCGGATCCAATATGGCGGACATTTTTTTGAAAAATTTGCCGGATTTGCTTGAAACTCGCTACTCGGGGGTTTTTGGGGTCTCTGATTACGAATTTGAAGTCAGTTTTCAAAAATTCAAAATGGCGGATCCATTATGGCAGGATTTTTTGTCAACTTTATTAGATTCGCTTGAAACTCGTTACATGAGGGTTTTTGAAGTCGCTGATTACGAATTTGAAGTCCAATTTACAAAACTTAAAATGGCGAATCCAATAAAGATGTTCTTTTGAGAAATCAAAAACTTGAGTGTTTTAATTCACCCGTATTTACTTTGTATCTTGCGTGTGCCTGCGTCCAGGGCACCTCCACGTGGTGTACATTGGGTAACGCAAATGCCGACGGTACATTATATAGTAAAATAGACGTGATAACATAAACATTGAAACTAAAGATATTACGCGCGTTTAATAGCACAAATTGTAGGTTTTTTTAGATTATGTCCGAATCCTGATATGATAAATTTAAACTGACTTCAAATTCGTAATCAGCGCCCCCAAAAACCCCCGAGTAGCAAGTTTCAAGCAAATCCAGCATTTTTCAAACAAATATCCGCCATATTGGATCCGCCATTTTGAATTTTTGAAAACTGACTTCAAATTCGTAATCAGCGACCCCAAAAACCCCCGAGTAGCGAGTTTCAAGCGAATCCGATAAATTTTCCAAAAAAGTGTCCGCCATTTTGGTTTTCTGAGGTTTTTTCAAAAACCTGATGTGATGGGGTTGAATGGGCCTCGGATTCGGATTCAGCGACCCAAAAGACATAGAAAATATATAGTCAGACCCCCAGATCAGAACTTTTTTTTTTGTGTGGCTGTGTTATTATTTAAAGAATATTTCATCTCTTTATATTTATCAGTAGATCTATTTACCTGAGTTGCCTGAGACATTATTATAATTTATCTGTTATGATGATGAGGCGAGTCCGAGTTGACATCCGAAAAGTGAGGTTATATTTATAATATAGTTTGCGACAATTTGTTACGTATACTTAGGGTGTTTTCGGCATTCACTCAGAGTTAACTCTAGAGTTAACAGTGGTGCTCAATGATATTATCTTTGAAAATTTATTTACCTAAATAAAATAATTGATTTTCTATTTTCATCACCCTGAGTTTGAAGTTAGTTGTCCTTGTTTGCTTACTTTTTTTAATTTATACGTATTTTTTGTTTTTCATTTAAAAATGGAACATATTTTTGCTACCCATAAACGTGTTATTTTTTTAAAGTTTATAGTTTTCAAATTTTTCATTATTTCCCTAACTTTAATTAATCTGAATTGTTTAAGGAACTAGATTATTTATTTTAATTAAAGTTGTTTTTTATAAATAAAAAGTTAAAATAATTTTTAATAAAAATAAATTATTATGTTTCAATTTACACTTTTCAAAACAAACAATCCGTTCACAAATTTTGTCGGCCATTAAAGGTTAGGACTGACCCTTTTTCTTTAGGCTGCAGTCCCATGGCAGCGTTTTGCGTTGCGTTTTGTCACTAGACCATGAGTGTAAAAGAGATGCAGATATATGTTTGCTATGTTTACACTCAGGGTCTAGTGACAAAACGCAACGCAAAACGCTGCCATGGGACTGCAGCCTTACTCTCGCAAGAAAACAGAGTTAACTCTGGGTCATCTTGTAATAAATTTTTGGGGACTTTTATGAAATCTAGAATTAATTAATTAATTAATTACAAAACCAAGAAAAGTTAATAAGGAGATTGTTAATTTCGTATTTTTTTCACATTCTTTTTTTGAGTTTCCAAAAATCAAGTAATCGTCTAAATAGATGACAACTCTAATGCCCTTGGATCTTAGCCAGTTGATTACTGGTTTACATAATTTTGTAAAAATGAAGGGGGCAGAAGATAACCCGAAAGGCAAAGCATTAAATTGAAAAATTTCCCTTCCATATCTAAATCGGAGATATTTTTTATCTTCTGTTTGTATAGGAACTAGCAAATACGCGTCTTTCAAGTCCAATCTACACATAAAATCCCCTTTATTTAAAATATTAACCGCTGTTCGGATGTCCTCTATTTTAAAATGTTCCTTTTTAACAAAAAAATTGAACGATTTAAGATTTAAAATAAATCTTTGTGTTACATCCGGTTTGTCTACGAGAAAAAACGATGATAAAAATTGTCCCTTAACTTTTTCACAGGATTCAATAGCATTTATGTCTATTAATTTGCTTATTGCTTTGTCGAGTTGTTCGTTTGGTGAAGGAACAAAAGGTTCATTATTTTGAATGACAGTTTTGACTAAATTTATTTTGTAACCTTTTATTATTTCTAAGACCCTTTGGTCTTGTGTTATTTGTTCCCACCTGTTAAGATAAAATCTTAATCTAGCTGCGTGACTTACCACGTTATGCTCTAAGGCTTCTTCCTCTGCGGCTGCGACTGTGAATAAAATTTCTTCGCTGGGGCCTTCCAGCGGTTGTTGTTGTTGTTCGTCACTCTGGAGGTAAATGGTCTCTGTGGATTGTAGCCCCCTCTTCCAACCTCCCTTCTCAGAGCAGGGCTTCGCCAGTTTAAAGGATTGGACCTCGTTTGAAATGGCTTGGGTCTTAATTCCTTGGACAACTCCATAGTTTTGGAACTCTCCACTAAACTCTTAATGTTATCTCCAAATAAAA